ACGCAGCAGAAGTGCCGAGTCAGCATGTGGTGGGGGGGGGGAGTTGAGGGGAGGGAAACCGCACTCCGAGCGCCGGGCCTCTTGGCGGACGTGGCCGCCACTGGGCATCGTTTATTTTGTTCTTTCTCTGATTTATTTCGGTCTTTTTTTATTGTGACCCCCCCCACGCCCCATCTGAGCGCCCGCTCTAGCCGTCGCCCCCCCGTCTGTCTGTCCGTCTCACCTCTGCAACATCTGCTCTCTTCTCGGACTCCCGCGTAGTTTTATAAGCCGACCCCATGTCACCTTTTCGTATTTCGCTCTGCTTCCACATTTCCTGCGTCTCCTCTCGCATCTAAACTCAGTTTTCCTTCCTGGTAGGAGGGAGGCGCAGTCTTAGCCTCCTGCTTTACGGCACATTAAACTTTCGAAGTCAGTTATTCTGCAGCTGTTACTTGCGCGTTGCTCGCCGTCCGATCAGTGTGTAATTCTCGTGTGCGTGTAATTTCAGTGGGCAGGTCTGGGCTGCATCACTGCTTTGTAATTGTGCCTGTTGTTAATTGCTGACATAAGAATGCACGGAAAGGGGGCGGAGTCATCATACCTCCTTGATTTTCTGGCAAAACTCCCTCTGGCAATAGTGCTAAAGGAAGGATATGTTACTGAAGTAGAAACCGCAGTACAGCATGCAATGGGACCCCCCCCCATCGCCATCGTGGATGTTTAGGAGAAATGTACAAGGAACTGAGTAGTTTTTGAGGTTGCTGATAACTCTGGGGCAGGCATATTAATGCAGATACTGGAGACATGATCCTCCTTTCGTGTTTGTGTGTTTGGGGCGGTAATCTGCTCTTATTTACACAAACCAATAGGTGTCCATTGCTCATGAATGCATCTTTATCCCGGCCTGTGGCCCACGGCCCGACGTTCCTCTCAGAATGAGCCGCTCCCCTTTATTCCTGCAGCCGACATACATGAACATGCGGCACCACATGGTATAATTGCCCCTGTGAAGGAGTAAATCCTGCATTTGGGGGGGATGAGAGGCAGCTGAGGTGGAGAGTCCCATGGAAGACCTTAGGCAGTTCAGGGACGTATCAGATGAGCCATCGGCGTGAACTTTTAGCACGTGATGCTCCAGGTTTTCACTGAATTCATGTAGGTAGGTGAATTGTGTGTGTGTGTGTGTGTGTGTGTGTGTGTGTGTGTCCATCCTGCCATGTTCTGGCAGCCCTGACTCATGCCCTCTGCTTCCTGCGATTGGGTGCTGGCTTTACTGCACCCCTACTCTGGGAGTCTGGGGTCCCGGGGCATCCTGCCTGTACCCCAGAAGCCAGACCTGTCCACACGGCCCCCTCGATGCTGTGAATCTCCTCTCCCTGCCTCACCTACCCCTCACCTCCATCCCGGCAGGACCTGCCCGCACTCGCTCATCCCGCGACCTGGGGGGTGGAGGGATCTGCGTGGGGTTAGCAGTCAGCCGCACTCTGCCGAGCGGCTGAGTCATCAGGCAGGAATGCGCGTGGCAGTCTGGATGTGCGGTGGACTTCTCCTCGTGTGGTGGTACCACAGGGGGCAGATCCGTGCTCCGCCCTTCTCCGGGCCGGTTCCTGACCTCCCGTCGCCCTCTTGCTCTCCCGGGGGGGCGGAGTGAAGTGCCTTCCTTTGAGGTGTCTGCGATAGGAGGTGGGGGCTGTGCCCTAATGACTGACTAATGACAAAGCATTTCCCCGGGGCCTGTGCAGACGGAAGATCAACCTTTGCTAAACAAACAGACTCTCAGCTGTTGCATGGCAATCCCTCTGTTTAACTTTGCTCTTGGCTCAGCGTTAGCCTCAGCTTTCAGGCGAACCGCATTTTCAATTTGCAGGCAAAAAAGACACCAAGTCTCCTGAATGCAGTGCTGTCAGCAGACATCATGGGGTCTCTGTGACCGTACCCCCCCCCCCCCCATCATTTCGCTGTATCTGTATTAATCTGCAGTTAAATCTCGAATGCCCCCCCCCCCCCCCCCCCCCCCCCCCCACCCCCCCCGCCGGCCCCCCCCCCCCC